TTTTTTTTTTTTTTTTGGTACCAGAGATCAAACTTAGGACCTTGCGCTTATAAGGCAGGCAGTAGAGCCACTGAGCTAAATCCCCAGCCCCTCTTTTTTGAGAAAGGGTATCACTCAAGTTATTAAGTTTCCCTAGCTGGGCTCAAATCTGTGATCATCCTCTCTCAGCTGCCCAGAGTGCTGGGATAACAGGTATATGCCCCCACACACCCAGCTCAGCCCATTACTGTAAGAATTTCCAGTGGGTTTTTTTTGTTTGTTTTGGTTTTGAGATGGTCTCTCTCTGTAGATCTATCAGGCTGGCCTTGAACTCACTATGTAGCCCAGACTGGCCTCAAACTTGTGGAGGTTCTCCTGCCTCAGCCTCCCAGAGTGCCGGGATTATAATACACGCCAACATGCCCAGAAGAACTGCAGGTTTTTCAAAAGAAGAAATCCAAAATCTTAATTTCAATTCTATTTTTTATTTTCTAAAAAGCCAAAGAAAACAATGGATTTTTTTTTCTAATTACTGTTGATTCAGAGGCTTACTGAATTACCAACAACAACTAACTGTCCCACATATGCTGGGTGGACACTATTTTATTTCTGCCAGCATGACAAGATAGATGTCTTCACCACCATATTCAATTAAAATAACTAGAATGCGAAATAAAATTTTATAAATGAATCAAAAACCTGACAAAAAATAAGGAATGATCAGAAGTCAAAAATTAAGAATAAGAAGGGAATTAGGGAGGTACACAGAGTATTAAAACCAGCTTTCCTTCACCATAAGGGCATCTGACAAACCACATGAATTCCAACTTACAATCAATTCTAACATCTTGAAGTCCAGGAAAAGAGGCAGAGTTCAGATCTTACCCAAAAGAATTACAAGGAAGACTGCTTTGGGAGGGGAGGGGATATGAAGACAAGAGATTTGATATGTATGTCAGGCTGGCCTCAAATTTTAGATGCTCCTGCCCCAGCCTCCCAATTGTTGGAATTACAGGCTGGGATTATAGACATCCACTAACACACCAGGCTGAAAACTGCTTTTTTAACCTTGGTAACACGTACAGACAAAGAGATAAGGATATGACTGCAGTGCAGTGGTGACTCCTCTGATAGTTCACAACCACATACTGACCCTCCTCAAGATTATGGTTTTAAACACTCCATAGCTAAACGTTGGTGGTGGTAACTGCAAGATGCCAATGTCCCCCATTCAATCCTACAGATGCAAATGCAAATTCTCTCTAGAGGAATTCATCTTTGATCCATACCTTTAAAAAATTCCCACAAGTAAGGTTATAAAATTAATGATGTGAATAAATTAATTCACAATCACTACTCACAAAACCCAGACAAGACAATTATAGCAATATACAGCAGAAACATCAGTTAGCATAATTAAAACCAAAAAGATACTATTTTCTATTGCTTTTATTTTGAGTGCTTTATTTAGTCCTGTATTTTAATCACCTGCACAAAGATGAATCCCATCTTTGTCTCCAGCAGGGATGAAATCTCCTAATATCCAAACATAAATATCTAATATTTCTTCCTTGAATTCTCATATTTGCTATGTCTGAAACTGAATTCATCATCTTTCTTTAATATACTTCCTATCTTGATAAAGTGGCATAGCCTTTTCATGTAAGAGTGCCTTTCAGGTTTCTAACTTACCTTTTTCTCTTTGTTAAAGAAGAAAACTTCTTTCCAACTCATGGTTTCTGTGAGGAATGACTTCTCTAAACACTCCTCATAGTTTGAACTACCCACCTCCATACAAGTGGCTTGGTAGATGGGTAGAACTTACTTTACTTAACAAGACTTGAACACCAAGGAGTTAGCAGACAGACGGGACTGGCTCCTAAGAGGATTAAGAACTGACAAAAATATTGTAATAGTAATGGCTACAAAATTTTGTGAATATACTAAAAACTGAACTGTAACACTCTAAAATGGAGAACTATATAGTATGCTGAGTTTTACCCGGCTAAAAAATTATTTTTTAAAAAAAGGTATTTATGGCATTTTGTTTCTTCGCTTGTTGATTCCGTTCTATTTCTCAGTCAGCTAAGAATTCATTCAGGGAAAATGATCTTATATACTGAGTCCCCCAAACTATAACATCCTTAGAACCATCAGTCAGTTATCATTTACTATCAAGCCTAGCTTCTGGAAAGCTCCCTAAACTGCTCTAGCCTCACAGCTTAGTTCAAGATTTCTCCAGTTTTCATCTAGATTACTGAATGGTGTCCTGAACCTCAAACTTGTTGACTGAAAAGAACGTATGTCAATCTTATTACCAGGCAACAGATCAGCAACATGGGACTCTCATAAAAGGCTTAGGTTCACACCCAAATCATGAAATCTCACTGTTGATGTCCTCCTCCAAGGTACAAACACATCTCTGTGGCACCTAATAAGATGAACAATTACACTCATTCAATTACATCCATAGCAATCAGCAACATTTTCTTCAAATTCCTGGGAAACCAATATGTCACAAAAGTTTGTACAGAATGACACTGAATATGGATGGTAAAAGTCATTCACTAATTTGCATTCTCCAATGTGTGCTATTCACTGTATTATATTCCACTGTCAGCAGAAAAATGTGGAATTTCTTTTAATACAAGCAATTAAACTGAGTTACAAACTACACTTAGGAAACAGCTGTTATAACAAATAAAGTTGTATATAAATGCATTATGAGAGAGCAGGAGCTGAAAGTGGACTATTTTCAAGAAGCTCCCAAGTAATGTTTACAACCCCTCTCTTCTCCTACCCTCATAGAGATACAATGCTTTACAATTCATAAAGAACTTACATTGATGATTTTAAATCTGAAGACCTAGACAGAGATTCTATTTCTGAACCAATTAATATATTGTCAATTTCTCTGAGGCTTACTTTTCTTTTAAATTAAAACAAAAGGGAAAACTTCACATCTCAGTTACTATGACAGTAGACTGAAAGCATCAGTGTAATACCAGACAAAAATAAGAACATAATTTTTTAAAATACTGTAGCACTAGAGTTCAAAAGCTATTTATTCCTTCTTTACTTCTGAATTCAGAAAGTATAAAATTCATTTAAGATCCATAAAGAAAAACCTCTCTAACTCAGATAATTTGACTTAACATTGTGAATAGTTATAGTATTAGTCACAACTAATCATTAAAGTCGCCTTGGAGATAACCTGTATTTTAATCAGCTAGAATAGGAGAAATTTGCCAGATGGAGTGCAAGAAAAAACTCTTGCTGAGTGAGTAGCAATCAGTTAGTTGTTCATCCTAGCTCTACTAGCTAAACCTGAAGACAATGGTGCAGTGTGAGATAAATCAT